GTCTGTTGAGAGGGGGGGAGCAGTTGTGAGGTCTGTTGAGAGGGGGGCAGTCGTGAGGTCTGTTGATAGGGGGAGCAGTCTTGAGGTCTTTTGAGAGGGGGGGCAGTCGGTAGGAACCATGGCTTTTGAATCTAGCTATGGTTTATTCAATGAAAGACTGCTGCAAAGACAAGGAATTTAGTTTGGAAATATCCTCTTTGTCTAACATTATTTAACTTTCGAACGTTAGATTTGATGAATTATTTGGTAGGTTTGCTTTTTCATGTGTAGTTCATTTTTGATGAATGAGTATTTTACTTTTAATTTAGCTTAGAAAATCGGGAATATCCTTTGTCTAGCAAACTCCTGTTGGCCAACGCAAGCTTCATAGTCATGTATGAGTGTGTCTCTCAGTAACGACATACGCTAGGATTGGTTAATTAAGTAGGCAGAGTTCTGATGCAAAGCCCGTAGTAGGTACCCTACCTTTCATATATGCCCGCATCAACTGTCTTCCCACTTTCAGCACTGAAAGAAGAAAAAAAAAACAGTTATAAATTGCTGCCGAAAAATAAAAGGCGATCTTGTTTTGCAAAGAATTAACAGAATGAATGCTTATTGGCTTACCCGCCTGTGTAGAGAGGATTTTCACTCTCTTCGATGGTATTTCTTTCGGAGGTACTCATACTATCACTGTTGATTTAAGACGAGACAAAATGGAAGAACTGATCGAATGAGAAGATAATTTAAGATCGGAAATTAACAAACTTAAATAGAAACAGACATACTTCTCTAAATTTGCCCTTAATCCTAAAAAATCATCATCAATTAATTGACCTAATGCTCATTTGAGATGTGGTTCCGTAAGATAATGGGGATTACTTCCTGACACTAGAATGCACGTCATTTCCAAGGGACCACAATATTTCTTAGTGCTTCTAGTTCATAAGAACGCTTCAATTCGATCACTTTAAAGACAGATTCATATAACTCTTCTAGCTCCTTGGAAATGATTTCCTGTGACACTTCTATGAAAGTACCCAAATATCGTGTTCTTTCTGTCACGGGGTTCTTTCAACCTTCCCAGTTTG